CGGGGGCGGCTGGTCTGCCCTGTTGGCGTGCTGCAGACTGAACGGCGCACTGCTCACAGTGGAAGGCCTCCCCGACATTCTCGACCGACGACTGGTCTCTGGGGCGGAGCGGCTGCCGAGGAACGTCAGAATCGGTGCGGGGCGTGCTCTGTCTGGCCAGTTGTTCGTCTCCGTATAACTACGTTGCATTTCGAGAGCAGGTCGTTTTCTTCTGTTGACATGATAGCTAAATGCACATCGTAACGCGCTGTTTTAGCGCATTAGCCTCGACTACTGGTGAGTCGTCTGCGTTACGTAATGGGGTGCTTCTAAAAATGTAACCAGTCTTCGGGGCCCGAGGAAGAACCTACGGAATCGATGATTTTGTGGGCTTCATTTGCGATCGGCATGATTATAACGAAGTAAACAATCTTTTGAATGAGGGTCAGGAAGTTAATGTGGGCGCCTGAGTTGGTGGTCATTTGAGCTTGATGATCATGATGAGCTTGGTCATGATGCAAATGATACCAAAACGTTATCAAGTGAAGCCAGACGTCCTTGCGACCAGTGCAAACATGTATAAGGAACTCATTGGAATGTCTTCATGAAATCCTGGCACCCCTGGGGTGTTTTGTCGCACGTCACTGGCTGTTTGTCGTCTAGCTCACAACTGTGCCTTCACAATCAGCTGCCCGATTGCTCCGAGTCGGACAGTAATCGGAAGCGCTGGCATTTTGATGAAGGAAAGCCGCTTTGTTGACCGGGACAGAAGGTCAACAACGGCCCAGCGCCAGGGCCGTTATTGCCGGGCATTACCGAAGGCTGTGTTAAAATCCGAAGTCGTTAGGGGAGAGCGGGCCACTAGAGTCACCAGGGGTTTGAGGCCGGGAGAGCACAAACTGAACTGGAGAAAAATGTGCATGGCCGGAAAAGCACGAACCACCCCTCCCTCTCTGGATTCCGTAAGAGCCGTGCTTATTAAGCCGCACTAAGCAGTACCTCCCCCGTGCTTATTGGATTTCGCTCTCAGGTGGAGGGGGGGGGGGGGGAGAGGAGTCAATCAGTCAGTGCTATATTCTTGGAAGCTCCACAATGGGCTATTCTGTTAAAGTGTCATTTTTTAGCAAACGCTCTCACAAGCGTGCACACGCGCAAACGCACACATACACGGATTGTGACAACGACACAAGACCACGCGACGCACTGTCACGCGCCAGCATGCTGGAGCGATGGCGAAGCTCTCCAGGGTGAGGCGTTCGGGCCCGCCGCTTCCCGCACCGCCGCAGGAAACCTGCTTCACGTGGAAGTAGTCCGGAAGGCAAAGCTGCGATGGGCTATCTCCGTACGCACCTTCGGCAGCGCCGAAAGCTGTAGTCCTCTCGCGACGCATATTGAGGGAGTACGTCGGAGGCAGGGACTAACTTGGGCGTTGATGTAAGCGGGCTGTCGGTCATCAGCGCACTGACTGTAAACGTGCATGGTTTTAGCGTTGCAAAATGTCACGAGTCACGCTAACATGACGACTGACCAGAGAAGCACTGGGGCATGTGTTTGGCACGTGTAGCGTTTATTTGGCCAGTTTACTCAATAGGCATCAACGGGGAATGGCGCAGCTTTGCAGTGTAAAGCTTCTGGTTTCGCGGTTAATTCTCGGGTGGACAGAGGGGGGGGGGGACACTCCTGACCACCTGTTGATGGGTGGTTGCGCATACTTAAAAAGATGATAATAAGGATCAACGAAACGTGACTTTTAACGGGAAGAACTGGGAAGAACTAGCTCTCTAGATTAGGAGGCTCGACCAAATTAATTTTGCTTTTTAAGGACATTATACGTCGCCCGGTGGCATACCCAGAGAACAGTCCAAGATTCAAATGATGCAATACCTTGCCCAGGGAAAAGCTAACCGATCGCACCAGATTGTTGGGCTCACGACTTGCGCTCGAGTGTTCTCTGTGCGTGATCTGCCACACACCATGGTAGATATCCGGGCCAACACGACTGTCCGGTCTTTTCGGGGTCAGGTCGTTTGACCGCATGGTGCGTGACCCGCACTGCTGAGCTGTAGGCTCGGTTTCGCTTCCCGCTTTGCACCTCTTTCGAAGTTTGCCAATTAAGTTGTGTCCGTGTTGGTTGGCTGCGACGGCTGCATTGCGTTTATGCTGTAACATTGCCGGCAAACCACGCTCGATCAAACATCCCGCGTGCAATGTCAAGAGATAGGTACACTGTTTAAAGACATAGCGGCCTGTTGCTAAAGATTGCACGGAGCTGCGGTCCTCGGTTGCAAAGATAGCTGGCAACCGTGACGGTTGAGCCTTACCAGGCCCATCAGGTCGAGACTATTCCGGCAGCTGATTTAAGTCTCACTCGACCCCGCCCCCCTCGCTCGTAAACTGATCGTGCATTTGGACGAGGGCGACGACGGCGTCCGAATGCCTTTTGCGCCCTTTTGTATATGTAATGTCATAACCGGAATGGGCGTGGCAGCCGAGGCGGCCTGCGATTGGTCAGATTCGCCGCGCTTTGAGTTCTCAGTCGGCGGATCGCTGGCGACGCTGAAGGGCCGCGCGCTCTTTGCGACACCCGTCACTTCCTCGGGGCGGCGGCACTGGTCTGACCACGTCACACGGAGCTGGCGCGCAAGACGACCGTGGATACCCGCGCACTGTAAATCCCCAAACCAGTCACCATCATCAGCAGCATCGTCACCAGCGGCGCGGGCATGACGGAGCGTCAGAGTTGAGCGGGGCTCGACAGAGCACGCGCCAGGCCGGTCGGGTTGTTGCTGCGCTGGCCAGTGTGGTATGCTCGCGCTGGCGGCAGTAGCGCGCCACTAATGCCTCCTAATGGCCCATTAACACAATTTTATGTACTTTTACGGCGCGGAATCGACAAAAACAGCAATTGCGCAGGATGGCGCGCGCCGGAATTACACGTTTCCTTGACATCCTATGGATTCTGGTCATCGTTTTTATGAGGCGGCTCTGCGTACAGCCGCCGCCGACTGCTGGTTAAGTGGGTGGGGTGTATTGGGCGCAGGCATCACGCAGGCTGACACGCCTGTTCGGCGGAGCTTTAACGAGGAGCCTTTGTCTTAAACTTGCTATTTATTGCTTGCGCGACGCCCTTCGTGGCGCGGAACGAGTGAGGTAAAACCAGGCATGAGAGCTACCATCTTGCAAATGACAACAAAACATGAGCGAATGGAACCCGTCGCCTTGTACAACCCGCGCTAGTGTGTATTTACGACTGAATTGGGATGTCGTATGTCGATATCGATATCGATATCGATATCGATATCAGGCGTTCATCCCACACATGCGGAGGAGGAGGTTCAAGGCGATTCGTCTGTAGGTGGGCATGCAGCAAAGATGCAACGGGATAAAGATGGACTGATGTCTAACGTTCCCTTTCAAATTTTCAGATCGCAGTGGTTGGAGTGTGCGCTCTGTTGGTTGTTTGTAGATTCACCCACAGCGATCAATTCGACATGCGTTTTTCGCGGCTTTCACGGCACTAAGGTTCGAAAGAATCAATGATTTTTTTCCGTGTCACGTTCGGAAACAAGATCATCCAGTAAGACACACAGCAAACGCATAGTTCAGGGAAGGACAGCAATAATGGGGTCGGTAGTCGTGATGAGAATGTTGGAGACGAACTCCAAGCTTACTAACGGGGTGCGAAATGACTACTGCGGTCGGCACGCTCTAACATGGGAGCAAACAGCACGATCGCGAACGCGCTCGTTGCCGATTGCAATGTACGTTGAGTGCATGTAAGTTGTGCGTCGTGCATGTGGCATTGGAAAACCCTGGCACAAGCTGAAAAGATAATGGGATAATGAGTATGGAAGTATGATGTATGAAGTTGCGAGTATGAGTATGAATTGGCATATTGAGGTGCTGAAGTGAAAGGTGCGAAATGAGATGGACAGCATTGGCAAGGGGCCGCCAAATTCTGTTGTGGTTCTATTCACCCCGCATTTGTAGCTCGTAAATGTTATAGTCTCCGTGGTCACAGGGGTCGTGACCACCGAGCCACGTCAGACCTCGTGACGCGCGCTAGTTGGTGCCCAGGCTTCGCGGTAAATCACGTGTAACGTGATGCTGCGTCGCTTCTGTGACGCACGTGATACGAAACTGGGGCTGTAAACGAAACCGTGAACTCCCATTGCTGGTGGATATTCCACCAGTGCAGCAGCGGCGAGGTCCTGGAACAGCACGGGGTCTGTTCCATGAGAGTGCCTTTTCGTCGGGCGCGGGGGGCGGGACATCGCGTCATTGTCATAAACCATGAGTAATTGTTTGACGGGAGTGTGTCATCAGACTGGGATAGCGGCAAACGCCCATCCCAAGGGAGGGGAGCGAGCACCCAGCGCGTGATTCCCACCAGCTGCCACCCTCTTTGCCGGCTGCGGCTTCTGCGGGCCCTGCTGAGAGTGTGCGCCAGTTGACCTCGGGTGCCACATGCGTGACATGATGCCCTGGATGTCACCACACCTGCTCGCGACGTTTCAGAATGTTCGTTCGAACTGTCACAGAATATGACCTTGGCATAACCTACCTGACGGTATGGCGGCAGATAGATCGCGTGACCCTTCCTGAGACTGTGTGACCCCGCCCAGCAGCGCTGGCTGACTGCGTGACCCCCACCCCAGACTTTGTGACTCCACCCAGCAGCGCTGGCTCAAGCCGCATGACCCCCACCTCAGACTGTGACCTCACGTCAGGCTGTGTGACCCCACCTCAGACTGTGTGACCCCACCCAGCAGCGCTGGCTGACCGCGTGACCCCCACATCGGACTGTGTGACCCCACCCAGCAGCGCCGGCTCAGACCGCGTGACCCCCACCTCAGACTGTGTGACCCCACGTCAGACTGTGTGACCCCATCTCAGACTGTGTGACCCCACCCAGCAGTGCCGGCTCAGCCCGCGTGACCCCCACCTCAGACTGTGACCTCAGGTCAGACTGTGTGACCCCACCTCAGACTGTGTGACCCCAGCCGGCGGCGCTGTTTCAGACTGCGCGTCGGCCTGCTGAACGAGGAGATGCGCGACGCGGACGTGGGCAACGGCGACGACGATACGTTCCACCAGGTGGTCAAGGACTTCTCGCGCATGGCGCACGACGCGCCGGAGAAACTGAGTCGTCGCTCGGGCCACGAGCAGGGCGAGCCGCAGCCGTAGCCGGCCGGGCCGACCGGCTCGGCCCTCCTGTGATCCCGCACCAAACGGCGGCGCTCCGGGCGCCGCGCTGAAGAGATCTGCCCGCCGCTACGGCGTCGACCGGCGGCTGTGTTGTGTAGAGTAGCCCGGCCCTGGCCGGCTCCAGGAGACCGCGTGAGAGGTGGCTAGGCCGCCTCACGGCGAGCGGCTCGTGGGACGGCCACTGACCCTCATGTCCCGGTTTGCGGTCTGCTGAACCGTCTCAGGGCCGGTCCGTAGGGTAAAGAGCAGGCCTATTTATATAGCACCGGTTGCTGGTATATATGCCGGCACGTACACTAATCGTGCCTTTCTATAATGCTTCAGCGATATAAGTATATGTATAACGCTGGATGGGATTATGAGCTTGGTGCTCCGATTCGTTTGGGTTGTTTTTTTGGCGGGGGGAGGGTGCTGCAAAGGTAATATGTGGCAAGACTACGCACCATATCGCGCCGGCTGGCGTACCTGTTTGTGAGACAAGAGATAATGGCGACCTAGCATAGCTCACTCCGCAAGCTTGTGCCTGACTATGTTCCTCGGTTATATATCGTTTGGTCTCACGCACGGACTAGCGCTCTGCTGTCGACGCTGAGCAGCCGCCTGCTGCCCTCCAAATGCTCTCGGACGTGGTTGCCTGTCGCACGGTTCGGCGGCGCGTTGCTTCGTCTTACGCCTTGACGCGAATGTTCTCAACCGAATGCTTGTGCGCTGCCCGCGCGCGCGCGCGCGCGCCTTCCGCCTTCGCCCGCCCCTGCTGAGCTGTGTCGACTGCGCGCGGCCAGGTTGTGACTGTGTACGTGGAACGGTACTTAGGTGTCGGCCGGTGTTTTTTTTTTTAGCCCGGCTGGACCAAATGAGCCTGGCGTCCAGCGCCCAATGTCAATGCGCATCCCCGCGGACCATGACTTCCCATATGCATGTAACCCAGATCAATATACGCGTGAAATGATGGCGGTTTTCGCTTTTTAGGGAGCTGGTGCGTGGTTCTGTCTGGTGACGCGCGGGAAGACAGCAATGGCTGTGCGTGATGCCTGCGTGTTTATTTACCTGCCTCCACCCTCCGGAACGCCCACCTACCTCTGCCAACTAGTGTTCCGCCCTGCTCCAGTCCGATCAGCAACGGCCTGAAACCGAATCAGATGGCCGGCATTTACACAAGTTACGTCACGAGTTCGCTCAAAACAACACGTTCATTGCGCTCATGTTTTAGGTCACTCTTTGACACCAGGCGACCGCTGCTTGCTGTTTGAAAACAGACCCCCCCCCTTTCCCCGGCCCTGAATGGGACGCAGCGACGAGACAGACAGTTAAGCGCCAGGGTGTCACCCGACAGGGCCTCCGGGCGGCGCTGCGCCACGTGCGCCCGCGGCTCCCATTGCGGGCGATCAGCCAGCGCCGGCCCAGCCGGGCGCGGCGCGCGCCAATGGGCGGCGGCCGTCGCCGCGCGCGCGCCGCACACACACGTCTGTCGCCGGCTATATAAACGGCTGCACGTGGCTGCTCGGCAGGCGAGACGCGAGCAGCGTGACCACGCGGCCCGGCAGTCGACTAACTGGTGATACCTCCGAGACCGGCCACAGATGGAGGACGGCGACAGACGACAGGGCGGCGCGCTCGGTGCCTGTCTGCTGACCACGCTGCTGCTGCTGCTGCTGGCGTCGGCCACCTCGGCCCTCAGCCTGCAGGTGAGAGGCGAGCCTCCCGCCGGCGCGCTCCCAGCGAGATGACGCGCTAGATCCACCGCGGGGCGCGCTGCGTGCGGAGGTGGACCCCGGCCCGGCTGCCGGTCCCCGATGGCCCGGCGAGCCGCGGCAGACATTGCCGCAGCCCGCTCGTGACCCCGCCCGTGGCTCGTGTGCTGCTCACGCGCTGGGTGGAGGCCTGAGGGGACCCAGCGTGCCTGCCGGGCTGGGACGGGTGTCCGCCGCTGGGCCTTGGCTGAAGCCAAACAACAGGATTGGGCGTGGACTGAGACGAACTCAGAGCTCACACCTTACTGGTGTATTTTTGAACTACCGATTTTATGTCGGCACAACTTGGGAAACGCTTGATCTTACTTGATTAGTTTTTCTTACTTGGATTTAGCAACTGCATTTTGATAGTGCATGACATGCTCAGGAAGTAAAAAATGCATGCTTGACTGAGAGATCACCGTTCAAAATTGTTGGCCCTGGCGTGAAAAAATTGAACGTGAAATGAAGGAATCTGAAAATGAAATAAACATTGAAAATAATATGCGTTAGCTTACATAACGTTTATAATAGGTTAGCTTACATAATATATAATATATGTAGCTTATAATAGGTTAGCTTACATATGCGTTAGCTTGCATAACGAAAATAATAGGTTAGCTTACATAACGTTTCGTTCTGCTACGTAGGCTGTATTGGTTCGCGTTGGCTGAGAATTTGCCCATCAGGCACCGTTTTCGTCGCATTCATGAACGCCGTCCTACTGGTAGGCAACGTCTGTAAACTTGCGCTGTTAACCCAGTTCGCTATGTTGCTTCACACTCCATCTCGAAGGTTTTCTTACAAACGAACATGTATGAAAACAGCCAAGTTATTACATGACGGAATGTGCGCCTTTTCTGACACCTTTTTATAATGAGGGTCTTTGTGTGCTTTGCCTTTTATCATACGTCGAGGTCATTGATGTTACCGTGTTTTAGCTTTTTACCCTCCTATGACTTGTACTTTTACAGGTTATGTTGATACAGGTTATGCTTATGCAGAGAGCTTGTGGTACCCTAAACCTCTGTACACCGCGACTCTCCTCCCGTTTAACATTTCGTCCGCTCTGACCCGTTGTCCTCCCTGAACCCGTGTGCGTTCAACTGCGTGCGTTCAACTCCGGGTATGTCCTAGTCCTGTGACCACTTTGACCTTGTGACCTTCCTGCCCTGCGTTCATTCTGCCAATGTACTGCGACCCCGTGTCTGCCCTGATTCCGTGTCCATTTTGCACCTGTTTCCACTCCGACGCGATGTCCACTCTGAATCCGTGTCCACCCTGACCCCGTGTCCACTCTGACCCCGTGTCCACCCTGCCGCTGTGTCCACCCAGCCCCCGTATCCCCTCTGACCCCACGTCCACCCTGCCCCCGTGTCCACCCAGCCCCCGTGTCCCCTGTGACCGCGCGTCTACCCTGACCCCGTGTCCACCCAGCCCCCGTGTCCCCTGTGACCGCGCGTCTACCCTGACCCCGTGTCCACCCAGCCTCCACGTCCCCTCTGACCCGGTGTCCCCCTGACCTCGTGTTCGCGCTGACCCGCGTCTCTGCCGCTGCAGCGGGCGGTGCGCGAGGCCGGCGGCTCTGGTTGGGAGGATCTGCAGGAGTGCGGCATCGACAGCATCTGCGCCTTCAGCGTCTATGACCGCGACACGCTGGCCACCAAGCATTTCTACCCCCGGTGAGTCCGGCTCCTGGGTGAGGCGCAGCCCGGCGCCGGTCGGCAGACCCGCGGCCGCTGCTGGCGGCTGAGGTCCCGAAGGGGAGGGGGGGGGGGGTCTTGGCACCGCATGGCCCAGCGATGCTGACATGGACGTTTGGGTGCACGGCGCGTTGCTGTATGTGAACCATGTGCGTCCCTGATTTCCCTCCATAATACATCCCTGAGGGCAAATGCTACTTGTTCGGACGGTTATGTGGTGTTGCTGGTGTACTTCCAGCATCGCAGTTGGTACCCACATTACGCGTGATTATTGATGCACGCCATTGTTCTAACTATCCGGGTATGCTTTCCTTACAGGTGCCGATGTCCACCGAACGCACCATGTGTGGAGTTCTACGACAACATTGCCACTGGGGTCATCAACTGCAAATGTACTGTTATTGCATGAGCCGACCTGAAGTGGGAGAGGGGTCTGCGGCAGTGGCATCCACCCGCTGGACAAGACACCACGGCTTCGATAAAAACTAACCAGCTACCTCGGCCCGCTTCCGTAGCAAAGCATATCAGTGTTGTGGATCAACTGTGACCGTCGCATTCCAAGCACATTTCGGACATGAAGCAAAAAAAGAATGCGACGAATCACTGCATTGTACCTGTTAACTGCTCCAAGGTGCTATTTATTTTCAGCTTCATCATGATTGGAGCGTCTGACTGATGTTTAGGTGATCCGTTCCTCACGGTAGCCAGATCACTTTGTTGTTGTTTGACACTGCGTCACCATCATCACTGTAGATTAGTTATGATTTAAGTGCGTCAGCTTCTTGCATATGTGCCGCCCTCTGTTACGTCCCAGAAATGGCGGATCCGAGCCATGGTAACTGCTCATTGTTCAGTATTAGCGCTCGACGGAGGCGACTCGGCTCGACCATTGTTTCTTAATAAAACAACTTTCTAACCCGTGAGTGCGTGTATCTGTACGCATTTTGAATCTTAGGACGACATGGGATGGTCCCCATGATATACAACCTCTCCCGATTGTTCAGCATAAGTGGTAGACGGGGCGGGTGGTCTTGGTTCCTTTTGTCTGAATGGGAAACGCTGACCTTGAGGTGTCAATACTTGTCGCACTTCATGGTGCTATAAAGGTTATCACCAGAACACTGAATGTATTCGAATCATATTTTTCAAAGCGCTGCTCAACCAAATGCCCCACAGTCGACACCAAACCAACAGATCAACATCCTGATAAACCCCAACACGCCTCAGCTCCATCCAACGAGGCAGGAACACACCTCACGCCAATCTGTAGCAGTCGGCATATTTCGGGCCCGTTATACACAGACTGAATGCGCCAAGCCTATATAAGACTTCCAAATATAATTGTAGGTTTTAGGGCCCATCGACCCGTTGCGGCTGGTGAATTTTCCGATGCAATCCAGCATTAGCGCGTGTCCTGTAGAAATTGTTCGTTTCAGGCCAGCCCAATCTAACGATGATTGCAGAATCAGAGAAATGATATGATACAGAGATTAACACTCTTTCACCGGGCTGTATTATTGTATGGTGAATATGGCTTTAAGATTAAGTGAATTGCTCATTGAAAAGTTGCAAAGCTTCCAGAAACAGCTGGTTAATGTACCGCTATCTCCAGCCACAAAGAATGCATCTGACAGTACGTGATGAACGGCATATGTTATCGCGTATAACGTGCCATAGCATCGAACGGTACCTACCACTGCGTAGTGTGCAAATCACAGCAACCACAACAATAATAAAGAAGCCTCATGAGAAGAATGGCCTGATAAATCACCATGTATCGAAATACCGAGCATCTATGCATGCATCGAATAACGATGCGCCTATGTTCGGGTTGTGACGGAAACATCTGTTGATCCCCTGTCCTTGTGTTGCTTCCTATATCTCTACACATGTCGGTCCAAAAACATGAATATCTTCATAATGCCGTACACAATTATCCAGCTGGCTCGCCGACAACCCAGCCATGTACTGTCAGAATGTGTTGCTCTAAGCTCCCGCATCCGTTTTGCGCAGGTGACCGTCAGTGAAGTTTTTATCTCTTCTTCCGATTTACTTTCCTTCCTACCCGACTCGCTCATATTCCTCAGTTGCCCGAGAACCCTATCGGATGACCAATTCCAAATGCGTAAGGTGCACTGATTGCGTTTAGAGCATGGCTCGCTGAGCGACGAGACCTTTGATGCATTGGATGTAGGCCAGGGTGAATATTCAGGAAATAGCATACGCAGAACTCAAATACAAAGAACAGCTCTGCTAGTTGTCATGTTGGTTTCCCTCTCTCTATCGAATCGCCAAGTCTGTTCCCAGGTGAACCAAACAAAGACTAAACATATTCGCAACACAAGAGGCAATCGTGTCCATGCCATCCATGGCGGAATGGGCGGTGCGAGGATCACGTTTTTAGCGTCCCACCTCACTAAGGCCCCACGCCTGGTGGTGATGGGTGCTGCAGAAACCATCCCGACCGTGGGGAATTCTGTACAGTGGAACTTCGGGGTGGCTGTCCCTGTCAGTGATGTCGCTGAATTCGGCTGGGTGTGAGGTGCTGGCTGCGCTCATAGCCCGAAAGCCGACCTGGTTGGGATTTGAGCCCGCACCCACTACCTTCTTGGAGACGATCTCGGGGAACCTGTTTTGATTTGAGCCCGCACCCATGGTCTTCCTGCACACGATCTTGGGGAACCTGTTTTGATTTGAGCCCGCACCGATGATCTTCTCGTAGACGATCTCGAGGAACCCGTTTTGATTTGAGCCCGCACCCAAAGTCTTCTTACACACGATCTCGGGGAACCCGTTCGATTAGTGGATGAATCGGACTCGTACTTGGACTTACTTTTTTGAAGAAAAAGACTGGGATTCAGTGATCCTAAAACCGGATTTTGAAGCAAACGCAGTTAAATCCAAGGCTTTAACTATGGTTAAAGATTACATTTTATAGCAATCACATGTTCCGCAAGATATGGTTTCAATGTGGTATTTAGAAGATGGGGACACATCCCGTTCATCCCGTTCGTATTTGTTGATATTGGGGCGCGGGGGGCTCGCTGTTCGGACTTCTTTTAACTCTTCTCCATCCCCATGTAATATCCCGTAGCGTGATTTTCACCATCTCCTACCCAGTGATATGTGACATGTCCTTGAGCCCCACCAGCTGTTCGAGCTATTACGCCTTAACGTGTCAGATGCTGCGTGGTAACCAGACTTTTGACTATGTTGTGGAGCACGGTGTTTTTGTACTCCATCAGCGCGTCTGTGGCAAGGGATGGAAAATGAAGACAAAAACAATGTTTTTTTCATGATATCCGAAAATTCCATTGTGGGAGAATCCGGCGAGTGCATATATGGAGGCCAATGAGAAATTGTTCACGCTCAAAAATATTGATCGGGGCAATTCTGAAGCGTTTAATCGAGGCGTCAGAATTGCCGCGATCAATATTTTTGAGATTGTCTTATTCCATATAATTTCTTTTTGGTGTTGCTCACGTTGTCGCTATCTGCCTAGAAAAACAAAAGACTTCCCGCTTTTTTCTACCGGGCCATAATCACCAAGGTGAAATACTGCTGCCTAAGTCTGAGCATCTTCATGCAAACCCGCTCTGAAGCGAATCGCGATCGCTCGGTCAATAACCAGCAGTTCAAGGTGGACGGAACGAAATTAAATACGGAAGCGTCAAAGATTAGCTAGGGAAGGTTCAACAACGCAGAGCTCGTGATGGGCAAAGCTGCAGGTCTAGTTCAAAAGCCTAAGTTCTGGCCTGAAAAGCCTAAAAAAGCTTTAAAAGCCTAAAAAGCCTAGCCTAAATTCACCGGCGATGTCGGCGCCTTCCAGACGTGATGTTTACCTACGGTGATGTTTTTGTCATTGCCTGTCATTGAGACTTAACGACACACTCAGCTGCTGAGGCCATATGGCGTCGCCTGCCTTTCACCCTGGTAAGAACGGCGGTCTCCTTTGGATCACACCCCGTGCCTCTGGTATCCCAGACGCGTAATGGTTAGCGCACTGACGCGCTTACCACTGCACTATCGGCACCAGCGATGTTTTTGTAAGCAATCATCGCACTCTAGCGCAGTTTTCAGCAATGAGGAAAGTAATCCTTCCAGAGTTGTGCTGTCCAGTTTTTACGCCAAATAGTTAGTTTTATGCTAGTTACGCCAGCTAGTTTTTTTAGGCACCAGTGCGGGAGCCAATTGATCAGGAGCGACTTAGCCACAACTTTCTCTTATGTCTACGGTGCAAGTGGAACATGATGTGTGCTACCTTCCGCATCAAATTGGCGTGGGAAAAGCAAAGTTTGTTTTCAGCGAGTGCCAATGCACTGCATGAAACAAAACTCATTTTTAGCCGGACGCACAACACGGACGGGTGCGCAAATTGTCATGCCATTGGCATATATGTAAGTTCTGCTGTTCTTGTGGCTCACCCCCGGCTCACTGATGCACACGGTACGTTCAAAGTCACTTCTGTATTTGACACTCGTCACGGATACTCCACACAGTCCGCCCCGCCGGGCGTTAGTCCTCGCGCCGGCGGCTCTCCGAGTCTTCCCTTTGCCACTCTGTCCTCTCCTGACGCTGCAGCCGCGTCCCTGGCACGGGGCGCCGGGGCAGGAGAAGGGAACGCGAGCGTCTATAAGCGGCGCTCGCCAAACTACGCAAACATTCACTGACTAGCACATAAGTATTCTCTGACGTCTTACATATATAATGCTCCCACCTTTGTAGCGATGCGCGACAAAACCGTGTTCCCATTGGATACCGATGCCAGTCTCAGGGCGGGCGAAACGTAGATATATTTTGGCATCTAGAGAGCAGACAACCTTCGGATACGGAGGGAGACCAGATGCGCAAAGGCCAAGCCGTTGAAAAAATACTGCAAAGCTCGAGCCACGAGCAACGATTAAAAGGTGACGTCCCACATTTTTATGGAGTCTCGAACTGAAATTGTCATATTGAAGCTCATTCGGTGCAGTTCATAGCCCTGCCCCTCTCCCTAAGCCCCTTTGGTTTCTAAGCTATACATCCGCGAAGATGGGGAGACTATTTCGGGAGAATACTTTAAGATCACCTTGGCAGCCATGATGTTACAGTAACGTCATTCAAATCCTGCCATTCCATAAGCCATGCAGCGTTCAAAGCCAAGGCAAATATAGTGGTCGAGTCGTTAATATTTGTGCTCGCGAACACGATTTCCAGATGAAACGGCTGTCCGTTGGCTCTCAATCATTGTTGCTCAAGGTACGATGATGTAATCAGACAGTGGCGCACCGTGGAACATAGTTACTAAACAGATAATTGTTTTGTCTAGAGCGGTCTTTTCCACTTAAAAGTATACAAATAGTTATATGTGAGCTTGTTTCATCATATCTACTACTTGCAGCAAGATCTTCAATCGTGGAACGTTCCCTCGAACATCATACACAAGCGCGCTGAGGACCGCGAGCTGACGCAAGCATTGAAAGCTTACAAAAACTAATGAGGACACCCTGTGCATCTGTGAGATGCGAATCAGTGTTATGTGGCTGGAGGCGGTGCTATACTGACGCTGATGGCGCGGCTCTGCGCGCGGCAAAGAAAACAGGAACCACGACCACATGTCTTTTCAGTGAATTGAGTGGGCGGAACAGAACCATTATCTCCGAGTGATTTTTGTGTGTAAAGCAGCTTCGAAATGTTAAGTGAAATTCACCCCGTGCCTTTCAGACACATACCAACGTTACAACACGGCCGGCGGCGCTACAAACGCCAACGACGCCACTGCTTCGCGCAGTGAAGCTACCGGGAATCTGTTCACCGATAAGGAAAATGCTAAAACCAAATTGAGACCGTAAGTCTGCCTGCCTGTGCGCATTTTCTTAGCCAGAGGCACAGCACAGACGGCGACACGGATACTGAGAAATTCGGCGGGTTCAATATTGGCGACTATTACGTCGGTCACAGCGCACGCGAAAGAGGACGAGGCTTCTGCATTTAGCAGGAACACTCGTCGCTCGTGCGGGAGAACCCAACTGCGCACAGGCCTGGAGCAGCTCGTGAGCTCAGGACGATGATTTAAGGGGTCTTATGCCGATTTAGGGAGGGAATAATAATGGCGTCCTTCCATGGCTCAGGAAGGACGTGGGAGCAGGCCACAGACCATTTAAGACAGTCCAAATCCGTGGAGTTTTAGCATAAAAAGGGTACATTATAGTCCCCTGTGCTGTGGGAAAGAAAGCAATTAGGATGTAAGCGAAACTGAGCCTGTGCATGATACAGGGAGTCCGCTTTCCAGACGAACCAGATTGAGGCGTACCTTCAACGAGAGTATTTTTGATAACGGGCGTTGTTGAAATAATTTGATAATTCATACACAAAACAGGCAGGGACGAATACGAGCGCTTTCCAGACAGTGCTCGAAGCAGTACCGTAGTAGTGCTTGCACCAATACCCGTAGTAGTGCTCGCACCAGTACCCGTAGTTTGCTCAGGGGAGTACCAGCCCAGTAAGCAAAACAAGGTACAGAAGACCGAGGCTTGCATCAC